TGGTGGGTGATCAACACTCGGTAGGAGCTATGCCCGCACAAAATTAGTAATCCTTAGCTATCATGGTTCTTGAGTTACAGGGGATCCGCTACTTTTGAGGAGTACTGTAACATGTGAGAACTAAGAATGTGCATCAGTATCAACGGTTCTGCATTCCTTTAATACTTTATTCTACTAATAAGGAAGGATTTCTTCTCATTAAATAGTTTCTTTATCTACTGCTTTTCTGCTATTCGAGAAAATTCCAAGTATAGCAGAAAATAACGACTGGTCACGATGATACAAGTCAAATACTTAAGAATCTAGTCATGCCAGTAATTGCTTTTTCAAGTCTTTCTTTTACTACTTCCTAATAAGATCAATCCAATCAACACTTATTTTCTCATTATAAAATATATAGCTATAATTCTTTATTTTAAAAAGTTGATGACGTTATCAATCAATTCTAGTAGACTATCACTCATGCGATAACGAGCAAATAGTTTTCATAAGTAATTCTTACGAAATGTAAAGCATTCAACACGACTAAAGAAGAATAATATAAAACATATTTTAATAATTACGATCATATTGCTTCGTCTATACTTGAAGTGCGAAAAAGAGAGCATATATTTAAACAAAAAAAAAATTATATTTTTCTATTAAAAATCAAAAAATTGGACTGAATTGCTTTTTACGGTTTTTATAACAAATCAAAGCTACAGTAACACGTGCACACATATTCAGTGTTGCAAATGGCTAATGTATTCGATAAACGCGTTTCAGTAATTCGTGTGCCGAGACCAAATCGCATAACTCCGGAACATACAATCAATGAATTGCGTGATGATGACGTTAAAGAAACTGATGACCATTCGATAGAAGATGATAGTACCCCTCCTCTCACTGAACAACAAATAGATTCATCAAAACAACAATATTTTGGTACCAAACCAGTCATAGGAGTATCACCAATACATGTCGTGAGTAAAATTTAGAAAATAAAGCGAAATAGAGTTGATTACTTTTGCTATAGAATGTGCCGAAACAAAGTGACAATAAAAAATGGTATCTTAATGCTGGAAAGAATAACAATGGCAAATATGACCGTTTACATCACAGTAACGAGGCTATTCTGCGTCAGCCAAGCAATAGTGATGTAGCAACACAGATGGTACATCCACGGGTGAGAAAATCTTCCGGTTTTGACAAGGATATGACTCGTCCATGGCTGAAAAAATGGAAAACAAATGGTCGATGGCAACATAATTTGTGTTCATGTTGTGATGATTTTAACATGTGTTGTTATGCATGGTGGTGCTGGTGTTGTTTTAAATGTGACGTATCAGCAGCTATGGGTGAGAATTGCTGGATTTGGTTTGGAAATTGGTCACCATTAATGCAGATGAGAACAAAATTTAGAACAAAATACGATATTAAAGTAAGTGAAGTGACGATTAAACTTGTTTTTGTAACTTCTTTTGTGTCCTAGGGTTCAATTATCGAAGATTGTTGCGTTGCCGAGTTTTGTTCGTTTTGCGTTGCTGTCCAGTTGGCAAATGAAGCGAGAGATTATGGACACAGAGTTTATTGTTAGTCTGTATCAAGGGTCTGTGATACTTTTTGGAATAGCTAGAATAATCAAAATCAATATACATTAAATGCTCAAAAAAATATATATATAGTTTTGATTTTTTCGATCGACAGGAAAGTGCATGAAAAATACTACCAGATTAATCAAGCAAATGTGGCGGGTGATCGGAGAACAGAGGCGTACAAAGTGCCTTCCCTGTCAGAAATATGGATATCTTTTTAAAGAGTCGATATTCAGCTAAGCACAGGATTCAATAGCCCACGATGTCAACTCTTAGAATCCATCCTCCTTTTGTCAACAGCAGAGCTTTCTGAAGACGTCTTTCAAAACATTATTATTGTATTTCATTAAAATGATGGTAGATTGTGGAGCAAACATG